TATATATATATATAAATATAATATAAAGTGGGGTCCATTGACAAAAGAGCTTATTCACCATTCACAATTTTGAGTAGGATGTATGTATGTAATAATTTTTTATTTGGATGAGTGCTTTTCAATTTGGTGGTCATTACAAACGAAATTCAAAATTAATGATCTATTTATGATGGTTGTTACTTTTTTTTAAAGTGATTATAAAATTTTAATGAAGGGTTCGTTTGATAACGTCGATATATCGTAGATACCGTTGTGAGAATGTTGATATACCGTTTGACAGATTAACTTCGTTGTAAACGAGTCTACCGCAGCATTCTTTTCCGCCATTTTGAAATCTCGACTACTCCCCTTCTTTCCTCCGTTCGGATGACGTTCCGATCTCTCTGTTCATCTAGACCGAGAAAACAGCCACCTCCTTCCCTACAAGCCCTGCGAGTCTCTCATCTCTTCTGGTCGTGAGTTCCCGCCACTGCACCTCTTCCCACCTTTGAGCTCGCCGCTAACAACCTCTCCTACTCTTTGCCCTCCTCGCACTGGTCCTCGTTGTTCATTGCCATCCAACTGTCAAAGTCCTGAAAACCGCCCAATCCTCACCTCTCGCCGGCAACAAACCCACACAAAATCACCTTCCCCTCTCCCATCCAAGCCCCGCGATCCATTTTTATGATATTTTTCTATTATTCCCAAATGTGAAACCCCCTCAAACAAAGTCCAAGAAATTAACATTTTAGAAAGCTATGGTAAGAATTATAGATGTATAATTTTCTTACAACTACCACAAATTCAGAAATCATGTTGAAAAAAGCAACTTCACATCGCATAATTTTTTAAAAAACACCATGAAATCAACTCTCCAAACAGAGCTATGTAGTGGTTTAGAATGCAAAGCAAGCAAAAAGTTGTTCAAAATTATTTTTAATAAATTGAAGCCAATATTTTGATAAAATCGGACCAAACTCACCTATCATGATATAGAAATTGAGAGTATAATTTTTCATCGTTGATTTGAATCACTTATATTATCTTTCGGGCTCAAATTTCTCGAAAAAATAAAATAAATCAACCAAACTAAATTTTAATTTGATTTAAACGACTCAGTTATGAATAAATCGAAATATATTTGTTACTTGTCGTGTAGTTATGAACAAATATAATGAATTATGATGTGTATTATATCTATTTAATTTCTTGAATCCATTATTTATTTCAATCAAAATAAGGTATACTATGTAAAATTTAATTTGTTTCGGTGTATTTGATATTAAATTTAAAATAGAATATAAAATTTTAATTTTTGTGGTTTGTTCAATTAAAATAAAAATAAAAATTGACTGGTAAAACAAAAATCAAATTCTAAACTATTAAAAATTAAAAACTAAAATGCATGTTTGAAGCCGAAGTGAATCAACCAAACTTGTTTAGCTTAATTTAACTTTTTAGTTTTTAACCAAATAATGTGCACTCCTAAATCATAACTTAGAGCCTAAATAGTATAAACGAAGTTGTAATCAAGCTGAGTCGAGTCAAGGAATCATAGATTGGACTTAACTTGACCAAATCATAAGTTGTTATTTCAAGTTTGAGCATAAGCATAGCTCACATATATGTTTATATTCTTCTTGTTTAGAATTTTTAGTGATCATATTTTATTTATATTTGGCTTAGTTATGTTAATTAAATAAACTAATAATTTAAATGAATAATTGATTTTTCTTATCAATCTAAAAATTCAATTTATAAATAAACAAAAATTTTGAAAGAGTTGGATAATGTTTTGAAATGGAAGGAAAAATATATATATTTTTCAGTTTGTGTTGTTGGGTGTAAAATTTGGCCACATAACTTGGATGTTACACATATAGTAATTTTATATGCACTCTATCATACCTTGTGATATCAAAATATAATTTGCAATCTTGATAAGATTTGATTGATATTGGCGTGAAGAGAGAACTACAACTTAATATTTCAAAAAATGGTAAATATTATTTATCATCAACATGCTTCACAATGATAGACAAAGAGAAACATATGTTTTGTGAAGTCCTAAAAAATATGGAATGCCTAGAGGATATGTAAGAAATATATCATGATCAGTTAACATCAATGATTGTCGAATTACGGATTTAGAAAGTCATGATTGTCACATTCACATTAAATATGTTTTGTCAATTGCACTTAAATCATGTATATCATCAAAGAAGTTATCAGTATTGTTAATGATATATCAAGATTTTTTAAATCAATATATGTTTAAGTTATCAATTTAAATGAGTTGGTAAGCTTCAAATAAACATTATATTGATTTTATGTAAGATGGAAAAAAATCTTCTCCCCTTGACTAACTCGGGACGACTCACTGCTCATTCATAGCATCTTGTAGCTCAAGACACCCATTTGAGACTTCCTGGTACGTGTTCGGGACACGAAACCAGGGTCCGCGATGATTTGACTTTACCTTTGAGAATTCATTGTGGAAGGGCTCATTCAGGACATAGGACATGTTCTGCCACCATTCTGGTGTTTAGAGATCATGACATATCCATATGGAGTCTTCTGTGGTCAAAGGAACCCATCAAAGCTTCCCATGGGCATTTTTGAGAAATCTAGGGTTTAGAACGTAGTACCCCGGTGGTAATTCAGGGTGCCCGCTGGCACCGAAACCATTGGTGTAAGGCTATTAAAAATTCTAAATTTTAGAGTATGGGACCATATTTTGGTCATATGTGACCTCTCGTAGCTTAAAGATAAAAAAAATCCTTTTCCGAAGGTTTCTTGTGAAAATCAGGGTTTTTTGGGCCAGACATGCTCCTTAGCACTAGCCCTGGGTGCCTAGGTGTCAGGTCAGACGCCCCAACGCAAGTACTAAGCACCTAGGCGCCCAAAACAAACCCCAAGCTCTCAAAACCGAGAGCCTGGAAAATAGGCACTCTCCCCTTGTCCCTTGTCGCCAGGGTCTGACACCTAGGTGCAAGCCCCATAGAAAGTAGCTGCCTGGAGCTACCCAAAAAATGCAGTTTTCAAATCAAGGAGCCAAAATGTACGTGTGAAGGCGTCAGGCCCAGTGCTTAGTCGCCTAGACCTCGACGCCTGGGCCCTCGAAAACCCGACGCTGACCTGTCGGTGCTAAGGCGTTAAACCAGGTGCCCTAGAGCCAAGACGCCAGCGTCATGGAGCTAGATCCAACACCAATAACCCAACGCTAGGGTGCCAGGCCCAGCGCCTATGCACCATGGTTGCAGTGCCTAGGTACAAGCCATCTTCTGCCTCGATTTCATCTTGTAATTTTGATCCTCACACCCCGCCTTAAGCAGCCGAAAAAGCAGATTTTCTTGGCTAATGTGAATATTTGCTTAGGAGGGAGATAAAGAGGCTAATTATACCTCTTTTGGAAGCTTCTAAGATGAAGTGGAAAATCAAAATGAGGGGAAATTTTTGAGTTGGATAGGAATATCTTAGGCTAAGCTCGTTTTTCCTCTCATCCTCTCTTGATTTTAGACTTTGGGCTGGTTAGGAACAAGGGGGGTGATCACTTGAGAGCATCAATTTTCTCTTTGACAAAATATCTTGAAGCAAAGAGGCTTTGAGTGTAATCCATCATCTTCCTCAAGGAGAAGGCAAAGAAGTTGGTGTTCTCCCAACTTCTTCTTCATCTTCTTCTTTCTTCCACTTCTCCTTCTTCTTCCTCCACCACTTTCCTTGAGTACATGAGGAGATTTTTATAGGGAGGAGTTGTGCTAATGAAGAAGCGAGGCATCAACTCTTCTATGACAAAGGAGAGCTTCTTCACACTTTGGGGATTGGTTGTTGGAGCTTCGCTAGAATTTTATCGGAGCTCAAAACTTCGTTAGAATCTCGCTGGAATCTCCTTCTAAATGAGAGCTTCTCCATTCTTCTGAGAAGGAGCAGAACAAACCTCACTAGATCTACGCCTGAACTTCATCAGTACTTTGCTGGAACTCAGACAAGCAAAGTGAAAGCATCCTCAACCATTGCTATGGGGAGAAAACTAGTAAACCCTTATGGTTTCTTTCTTTAGAGCCTCTAGGTTTGGATGTTATAGGATTTAGGTTATGTTTGATTATACTTAGAGAAAACCTCATAGGATTAGGAGCTTTTGTGATCCCCTTGTGAATCCAAAGAGGAAAACCTACCTTTTTTTTCTTTTCTAGCACAAAATTTGAATATTGGGATTTTCGTAATCCCACATTTGCATTGGCAATTTCATCCTTATGAAGGAAGGAACAAAATCTACCATTTGAGCATAGATCATGGAAAGTCTCAAGACTTTGACGTCCCCTACACCGCTAAGGTTTTCTCTATGGAATTCCTTCATGCAGGGTAAATGAAAGTGGTCGTCTGTTGCTTTGTGACACTCACTTTGTTCTGTCATTTACCCCTAAAGTTTACTCATGAGATCATTAGAACAAGCTTATCTTCATCACGAGCATGATCACATCTCCATTTTTGTGCATGTGTTCATATTTTCATTGATTGCATTGTATGAGTTTAAAATCACATCAAAATATCATATTTTTGTATGTGTCATTGTCGGCACTAAAAAATTGGGAGTTGTTAAGTAGTCAGCCGCTAGGATGAATATCCTAACACCCGTTTTAATTTAATATATATATATATATATATATATATAATTTGGAAAAAAATATTATTTTGGATTTTAGAAAATACAAGACCGAACCAATCTCATACCTCAGTAGTTTAAATAAACGAGCCCAACACCGCAAGT